TCCATCGGGAATTTGAAGAGGAAAGGAGAGCAGAGGTGCTCGAAACCCACCCTTCTTCACCCACGTTGATGAGGTAGGGGAGTTCTGTCTGGTTGCTGTGTGGGAGCAGCTCACTCATTGGACTCTTGTACCATACAGGGTTCTGAAGTGCCTGTAGTGGAAAATCTGTGGCTCAAGACCTGCTCGGCATACTCTCATACAATAGAGGGTTCTGGATATAGTTGAGTGGGGGGGGCCCATTAAGGCCATGAAGCATGATTAGAAGTTTTCAGGTAAAAAAGGTAAAAGTTGGGGTTGGGAAGGTGGCTCAGTGGTAGAGCACTTGCCTTGCATGCCTGAGGCCCTGGGTTCCATTCCTCAGCACCACATAAGCAAAAAGAAAAAAACCAGAAGTGGCGCTGTGGCTCAAGTGGTAGAGGGATAGCCTTGAGCTGAAGAGCTGAGGGACAGCGCCCAGACCCAGAGTTCAGGTCCCACGACCGGACCCAAAAACAAAAAACAAAAAAACAAAAAAAAAAAAGGTAAAAGTTTCCAGGCAACAAAGAACAGTATAATCAGAGGCACCAAAGAATAAAAGTGCTGGCATGCTGAGGTAAGAGGTTATAAACCCATCCACCATACAGCTAGAAAAAAGGGATGAAGCTGAAAAGGTAGGTTAGAGCATAGTTCTTAACAATTAGAGAAGAAGGAGCAAACACAGTGTCTGCTCTCAGTGTACTTTAGAGTGCCATAGGAAATGCTGTACTGTGAAAGTGGCTGGGACAGAAAAATGGGCCAGGTTGCCAAAGGAACTCTATGAGGCAGAGCTCGTTATACTCTACTCAGAAGAGTAAACTAGATAGAATAAACTAGATAGATGGAGAGCCACCAAAGGATCCTAGTTGTTTTTGTCCAGTCCTGGGATTTGAACTCAGAGACTAGGTGCTGTCCCTGAGCCTCTTTGTGCTCAAGGCTAGCATTCTATCACTTAAGCCACAGGGCTGCTTCTGGCCTTTTTCTAAGTAGTTTATTGGAGATAAGGAGTCACATGGTCTTTTCTGGCTTGGAAGGGTGATACTCAGATCTCAGCCTCCTGAGTAGCTAGGATTACTGGCATGAGTCACCAGCGCCCAGCCTGAATTGTATTTTATGTAAGTTGGTCCAAATAAAGGCAGGAAAGGCTCAAAAAAAGAACCAATCAAAAGGTTTAAATAGTGATCAAGATAAAAGGTAAAAGCTAAAACAGTAGAACAGAAAAAACAGAATTCAGTAATAATGAATTGTTTTTTCATCTATTATAGGCCAAGCACTAAAGCTATAACAATGTACAAGAAAATAATCCCTATTGCTGAGGACACAATTTAAAGGGAGATTCCTCTAAAAAAGACTATTAATAGTCAGAGGGTCAAAAGGTAAAATAATCAGAGAAGACCTACCCTCACAAAGAAAATAACACTGATGGTGAATTTAAATAATGAGATATAGATAATAATAAAGATAATAATAATAAAGAATACAGAGGAAATAGTGGCTCATATCTATAATTCTAGCTACTTAAGAGGCTAAGATCTGAGATTCTAGGTTTGAAGCCAGCCCAAGCAGAAAAATCCATGAGACTCTTATCTCCAATAAACCAGAAAAAGACTAGAAGTAGAGCTCAAATGATACAGCACCAGCAATAAGTAAAAAAGCCTGAGGTCTAAAGTTCAAGCCCCAGTACTGGGGCACACACACAAACAAAAAGAAACAACCAAGATGGTGGGTAGAATCTTTTATCAGACACACAATTCAGTTCAAATTCTTTTTCCTGTTTTATAGTTGTACACATCACATTCTGATATATTAATAAACACTTTAAAGACAGAATAGGAAATCTTACAGAAAAAATGTCATTTATAATAATAAAAGCCAAGGTTTATAATGTAATGTCTTGAAGACCTACTGACCTAAAAGAGCTATTAAAAAAGTTAACTTTAACAACTATAATGAGTATTTCATTTCTGTAGTTATATTTCATTTCTGTAGTTATAAGATAATACAGGTTTGCTTACCTTATAGATATCACCTATAAAGTCTAGAGAAGCTTTACACAAATATCAAATCATGTGTAAATGTCACACACTGATAAAATGTAATGATCACCCCCCCAAATCAATAAGGTTTTGAAATCCTCTCTCATAATTAGACAGTCACAAAATGTTAGATATATTCTTTTTATTGTCATTCCCTATATAAGAAGCTGAAAATTATTGAAAGTTTATCTGACCAAAATGTAATATATATTAAAAATGGCAAGCCAGGCGCTGGTGGCTCACACCTGTAATCCTAGCTACTCAGGAGGCTGAGATCTGAGCATCTCGGTTCAAAGCCAGCCCAGACAGGAAAGTCTGTGAGACTCTTCTCTCCAATAAACCACTAGAAAACTGGAAGTGATGCTATGGCTCAGGCGGTAGAGCACTTGCCTTGAGCTGAGGGGCAGTGCCTAGGCACAGAGTTGAAGCCCCACAACCAACCAAAAAAAAAAAAAATGGTGGCACATGTAAGGACATCTATCTACAATCTTACTAACATTTACTACCAAAAATGTATACATGCTGGGTGCCGGTGGCTCACACCTGTAATCCTAGCTACTCAGGAGGCTGAGATCTGAGAAACGTAGTTCAAAGCCAAACTCTCATCTCCAATAAACCATCAAAAAGGCACTATAGCTCAAGTGGTAGAGCACTAGCCTTGAGGTAAAGAGCTGAGGGACAGCACTCAGGCCCAGAGTTCAAGCCCCACAACCGACCAAAAAAAAAAATTTATACATTAGATAAGTATAATGGAACTCAATGTAATAGAAACAACAAAAAGCCAATTTTCCAAAAGCAAGTTTGATAAAATTTAATATAAGGCAGATATGCTCAATATTAAGCAACAAATCTTAAATTACTACAGTTGACTTCAGAAATCATCTCTCCTTCAGGCAATTACTTCCTATTTTCATTTGAGAAAAGCCCCTTCTCTACATGGTTTTGGTTGCAAACTACACTCCAACATACTTCCAGACAGCATGTACAACAAATCAGTGATCTATGTGTTCACTGGCTGACTAGCTCAGATATAGGCTTTTTTACGAACTGCCAATAAAGAACTCTTCCCTAAACTTAATTATAAGCCTATGAGGCTACATGTGCTATAGCTCTCTTGCTAATGTAAAGAGAAGTATATCCAAGAATAGAATCAATCCAGTAGAAATAGAAACAAGAAATGGTGAGAGCAAAAAAATGATCATATCATTTGAGTCTCAATGTCAAGCTATGCTTCCAGTAATCTCCACCTCTAAAAGGTTTTAGTTTCATCTGTCAGTATGTTAGTTGAAGTTAGTTGGGATTGCGCTTTCTCTTACAAAGAAAAAAAAAAAACTCTCATAACTAAGTTTCCTTATAGCAATCTTAGTATACTCTTATAGAGAAGATAGGAGTATTGTCAAATTATTGCCATGTTAGCCAGATAAGTTGCTTATTCCCTTTAATAATAACATCAATAAAATAAGGTATTACCCATTATTTGTTTCAAAGAGCTGTAAAGGGAAGAAGGAGGAGGAGGAGGAAGAACAGGAACAGGAAGAGGAGGAGGAAGAGGAAGAGGAAGAGGGGGTGGGGGAGGACAAGAAGAAGAAGAGAAGGAGGAAGGAGGAAGGAGGAAAGAGGAAAGAGGAAGGAGGAGGGGGAGGAGGAAGAGGGGGAGGGGGAGGGGAAGGGGGAGGAGGAGGGGAAGGGGGGGAGGAGGAAGAGGAGAGGGAGGAGGAGGGAAGGGGAAGGGGGGGAGGAGGAGGGGAAGGGGAAGGGGGGAGGAGGAAGAGGAGGGGGAGGAGGAGGAAGAGGAGGAGGGGATGAGAAGGGGGAGGAGGAGGAGGAGGGAGAGGAGGAGGAGGAGGAGGAGGAGGGGGAGGAGAAGGAGAAGGAGAAGAAGGAGAAGGAGAAGAAGGGAACCAGGTGCCAGTGGCTCATGGAGGCTGAGATCTGAGGATCACAGTTCAAAATCAGCCCCAGCAGAAAAGTCCATGAGACTCTTATCTCTAATAAACTACTGAGAAAACACTGACATGGCTCTGTGGTTCAAGTGGTAGAGTGCTAGCCTTGAGCAGCACAAAGAGGCCAGAGACAGTGCCCAGGCCCTGAGTCCAAGCCCCAGAATTGGCCAAAAAAAAAAAAGAAGGTTGGTCTATATACAAAGTGGTATTTAAGTCCCTTGCCTTATAGGTGGAAAAGTAATCTCATCTGTTTTGTAAATAATGTTAGGAAGTCATTTTTACAGTAAATATTGCCATAAAGATTCCAGGAAATGAGAATTTAAGAAATATCAATAATAATGACTATATTCAGATTTAAATATAATTGTATTTGAGTTTGTTCTACACATACCATATACAAGAAAGAAGATTCAATTTAGAATCAAGTAGTCCTGGGAAAAGGTGTTATATAGAACACAAGTTTGTTTGAGTACAATGGTCTAAGTGCCTTAACTTCTTTATCTATAAAACAAGAAACGATCTAGTCCTAACACTCAGTGGTAGAGACAGGAGAAAAACAACAACAACAATAACAGAAACAACAAAAACAACAGTCTTCACAAAATTTTGTGAGGATTAAGTAGTAAAGCACTTGGCATGGTGTCTGTATTTCATATTCCTAAGATAAAATAATAGTTTCCTAATCTATTCAAATAGCTAAAGAAAACCTATTATTTCATTCATTCTAAGACACATTTATTTCACTACCGGAAATCAAAAGTATTTTACAGTTAATGCTATTGCTGTGTTTATTGAATACTCTTTTACAGTAGTACATAAAAAAAAAATAGCATATGCTGTCACCAAAGGTTACCTTTATTTGATGAAATAAGGTATACTGATTCCAGTGAAGTCTGAGTATGGTACTTAACAAAGTGACATTTACTCAAATATACATTAGAAACAGAAATGTGTGGTGTGTGTGTGTGTGTGTGTGTGAAGTTAGCTGTAATTTTAAATTACATACCTCTGCAGGTCAACTATTTCATTGTTAAGGGTATCTAGCTCCTTAATAGCAGAAAAATCTGCAACAGGACTTGATCCTATGATGTTCTAAAAACAAAAAGTTCACAATTATGTATTATTACTATGAAATTATGTAATATAAACACTAAAATATTAAAAAGATTTACATGAAATAGTGTTGCATAATCCACTTCATTAGTAACAATTCATTTAATAGAATTATATCTAATATCATTAATATTTCTATGCTTATAATTATGTAAGTATAAGAGTTTCCTTAAATGTTCCAAAGCTATTATTCTATAATATAAACCCCACCTTTGTCACTTGATCCTATTCTGTGTAGAAGCTCATAGTGAAACAGATACCTAACAAATTAATTTCTCCAATGAAGAATAATTTTTTAGAGAGATGTAATTTATTTAGTACTTGTATCATCTGGTAAAGGATAAACAAATTTTTGTCAAATCTCAGAACTGTGATTGATTTTACTCAACATTAAATTCTATTAAATAATTTTTAGCGTTTATTTAAAGTAAACCCAACTGTTCAGGCTTGTTCCACAGTAAATATCAGTATTATCATATATAAGACTTTTCATATATGACGTACTTTTCATTATTATTTTCTTTTAATAATGAAGGTGCCAAAAATCATCTCAGAATTTAAATAGCTTTAATTTAATTTTGGTTCTCCTATTTTACTAACTGCATGATCTTCACCAATAAAACAGGAAAATACATTTCTGCCCTATTTACTTTTTTTTTTTTTTTTTGTCGGTTGTGGGCTTGAACTCTGGGCCTGGGTGCTGTCCCTCAGCTCTTCAGCTCAAGGCTAGTGCCCTACCACTTGAGCCACAGCGCCACTTCCGGCTTTTTCTGCTTATGTGGTGCTGAAGAATCGAACCCAGGGCCTCATGCATGCAAGGCAAGCGCTCTACCACTGAGCCACCTTCCCAGCCCCTGCCCTATTTACTTTATAAATTAAATTTGAACTATCATTGATGTCCTGTATGGTAAAGTAAGAGCAAAAGGATAAACTGTTCTTTAAACCCTTAATTTATATCTCCAAACTAGAATCATATTAACAACAGAATAATCTACTTCTGGAAATGTTAAAACTAACACCTAAAAACAAGCAACCTAAAATACACTGATGACCTTATTATTAGAACATAAAAGTTAGTACTATGACTACGTAGGCTGTTATGAACTTACTCTATGTCACCACCTTACCCAAAGGTTCACAATGTCCCATCTCATACAACTATATCATTTAAAATTCACTAAGTACTGTCAAATCCATTAGTCAATTCTCCATTTCAGAGCTGAGGAAACTAATTCAATGACTGATAAAAGTTATAGAGTATTCAATTTCAAAAATGTGCAATTTCATACTATGTCCCTTGGCATGTGCATGCTAGGTAAATGAAACTACATAAAAGTAAACTTGATAAACAAATACATTAATCAAATCTTGCAAACAAGTCATTCTCTACTATTTAATGCCACACTGCATTTTTAGTACTAAGCTTTCTTGTTTAGACTAGCAATACCAAAATTTACCCATGAAGTTTCAATATTTTAAATTTTGTAATCATTATGAATTTATATAAATCTCTTAACTGCTTACTATATTCCACAGTATATGTTATATTAAATTAAAACTTTTAAAGTAGATTGTTGGATGAGGTATTTATGGGTTTTAGCTCTGTATTAAACATGACTTAGAAGCCAGGCTTGGCCAGGCAGCTGGATAGATAAACAAAATGAAAAACCAAATAGCCTTTGATCTTACCTTCATTACCAATAGTAATTTCTATTACTTAAATGCTATTGAGACATTTGCTATCAGAAGTGCAAATATACCAAGAAACACATGATTTTTTTTTTTTTTGGGTCCGGTCGTGGGGCCTGAACTCTGGGCCTAGGCGCTGTCCCTCAGCTCTTCAGCTCAAGGCTAGCGCTCTACCACTTGAGCCACAGTGCCACTTCCGGCTTTTTTCTTTTGGCTTATGTGGTGCTGAGGAATGGAACCCAGGGCCTCAGGCATGCAAGGCAAGCGCTCTACCACTGAGCCACCTTCCCAGACCCAAGAAACACATGATTTCTATACCTATTCTATTACTTTAAATTTAAGACTCACATTTGACAGTCTTTGCTATTAAAATATCAAATAAGACACAGTGAGACAAATTAGTTTAACCATAAACAAGTTAGGAATGAAACTGTACATGACTAAAATGACATGCAATCTGGAAGCATGGAAAAAGTTCAGCTAATAATTCAAGGGCTTGGGAAGAAAAATGTAGCATTTTTCCCATCTTTCACACTGTCTCATGAATTTCACAAAAATTCCACTTTGGTGATTTTAAGTGGATCAAAGCCTAGGGGAGGCAAGCTAAAATGCCCACAAATGACCAAGTGACATGAGTTTAAGTATTTTTCTCTCATTCACTTTGCTGCATAAAAATCCTGTATTTTCAAAATTATTTGCAAATTATTGTAAAAAATGCATAAAATAATTATTGTAAAAATGCATAAAATAAAGCTCTAACCTTGAGAGAGAGTAGCGTTAAGAAACTGACAGTACAAGAAAGACGAAAAGCAGAGTGCTGCAGAATGGAAAAAATAGTCCAAACTAGAAAAAACACAGAAAGAAAAGCAACATTCAAAAAAGGATTAGTCAAAGCTGCCAAAAAAGTAGCATTTTTTTGAAAATCAAATTATAAAAGCAAAAGAGATTATTGAAAGATAAATGTAAATTTTAATTTTTAAAGTTAAATTTTGGTTAACAGATAAGACAACAATGATAAACTCCCATTTTAATGAATAATACTGCTACCTAACACTAAGTATCTACATTCTAGTGAATGGACTTCAGACATATCTACTAAATTTAAAACTAGTATACTATATACTAATGTCAATAAACAAACACAATTTGCTTCAGAAACTTGCCTTATTTGTAATTTGTATGGAAAGTAAACAGTGAGACTCTCAGCAATTTGTAAAATAAAGAAGAAAAAAATCTACACAGATGAAAGGATAAAACAATATGTATAACAGAATATTATATAGCAAAGGGCATAAATATAAATTCGGCAACCTTTATCTTTTTTTATTTTTATTTTTTTTCCAGTCCTGGGGCTTGATCTCAGGTCCTGGGCACTGTCCCTGAGACTCTTGTGCTCAAGGCTAGCATTCTACTACTTAATCCACAGTGCCACTTCTGGCTTAAGTAGTTTACTGGCGATAAGAGTCTCATGGACTTTCCCTACCAGGGCTTTGAACTGTGATCCTCAGATCTCAGCCATTTGAATAACTAGGATTACTGGCATGAGCCATAACCACCTGGCAGCCTTTATCTTTTGGTGGCATCATTTTCAGCCTTTTCAAAATAGAGAACCCATGTCATATATCACAAAGAATCTAAAGAAAAGTTCCTAATATGCCCCAATACAAAGCTCACAAGCTGATCAGATGTTTATTAAAAATGTAACTCTCTAAACCTAGTAGTAAGTAAATGATATTTTTGTTTTCTTAGTGGCTTGATATCTTATTGGTTTGATTTTCTTAGAAAATCAAATTTTAACTATTATGAGATTTGTTAAAGTAGATTTTTTTTTTTTTTTTTTGTTGCCAGGACCTGGGTGTTGTTGCTGAGCTTTTTGCTCAAAGATAGCATTCTATCACTTGAGCCACAACTCCACTTTGGCTTTTTTGGTGGCTAATTGGAAATAAGAATTTCACAGACTTTCCTGCCAGAGCAAAAGCCAAAACATTTGTGTTTGAAAGAAAGGTCTCATACATAGTACACATTTGACAGTGCCTATTAGATGCTCTGGGATTCGTGTGTGTGTGTGTGTGTGTGTGTGTGTGTGTGTGTGTGTGTGTGTGTGTGTGTGTGTGTGTGTGTGTGTGTGTGTGTGTGTGTGTGTGTGTGTGTGTGTGTGTGTTTACGCAGGTGTCTTGCTAAAGCTCTGGGATTCTGGGATTCGTGTGTGTGTGTGTGTGTGTGTGTGTGTGTGTGTGTGTGTGTGTGTGTGTGGTGTGTGTGTTTGAGCTGGTGTCTTGCTAAAGCTCAGGGATTCGTGTGTGTGTGCGTGTGTGTGTGTGTGTGTGTGTGTTTGAGTTGGTGTCTTGCTATGTTACCCAGGCTGGCCTTGAATTCCTGTGCTAAAATGATTCTTTCATCTTAGCCTCCCCCAGTAGTTAGTACTACAAGTGAGCATTACATGTGGCTCAAGTATTTAGTTTGAAAGGTAAAGACTATGTATACAAATCCTTAAAAGGTCGATTAAAGGCCAACGTATCCTAACTGTACCATACTAGGAAGGTTTCTAGGTGGAGAAACCAAGGTATAATAATACATAAAATGAAAGAGTCAGAAGCCCAAAGTAACTAAAATTGACATTTAGCTGTTCAAATATGAATCCAACTATATATTCAGGAACAAAGATCATCTCTGGCAAAAACCATGTACAGTTGTATCCTCAACATATAATTAAAGACTTTTTTGATGTAAAATTAACAAATAACCATCTCCTAGATTTTGTTTTCAAATTTATAGTTTTCTGTTAACAGTGAGTCATGAAATGAAATATAAAATTCTTAGTTTTTATTTAATTTTTACTCAATTCATAAAAATTACTTCACAAATCCGTGAAGGAAAACTAAGACCATATTTCCAGTTTAAGATCAGAACACGTAGCTATTAAATGTGTAATAAATAGTAGGATAAACAGGCTACAGACCAACCATGTCATTTATACAAAGAGCATATTTTTGATACATAATAACTAAACCATCAATAGTGTACTGGTCTACACTTAGCCAGATACATTTTCTCCATTATTCCATCTAAACTTACTGTGACTTGACATAGTATATGCTTCTTTCTATTAATACTTTCAGGTTCTCTTTTAAGACATCATACCTTTTGTAAACTGGTCCTGTCTGATGGTGGAATCATCTCAGGAGTAAGTATGTGAGGAGGATCAATGCCCTTTATTAACTTTTGATTGATTAAGTGAAAAGCCAAAGCAAACTGATCCTTTGAAAGCTTTCCACAGTCCTTTGTGTCACATAATGCCCTGCACAAATAAACAAAATGAATGGCATATAAATGCTATTAATATCATCCTAAAATTAAGGAGAAAAAATTACTATAACTAGGTATAATTTAAAAAATAATCAGTTAAATTAAAAAATTCAAAAAAATTTTTTTGCCAGTCCTGGGGCTTGAATTTGGGGACTGGGCACTGTCCCTGAGCCTTTTTTTGCTCAAGGATAGCACACCACTTGAGCCACAGCACCACTCTGGCCTTTTCTGTTTATGTGGTACTGAGGAATCAAAATCAGGGCTTCATGTATGCTAGGAAAGAACTCTACCACTAAGCCATTTAAAACGTATTTAAAAGAGACAATCACATAAACAGGTTACTTAAAACTAAATGCTAAACAGGTTGAAAAAAGAGAATATTCATTCTGATACTTGGCAGAGGCCTATAATTAAGTCTACTTCAAGCTTTATTAATTTTCAGGACCACTACAAAGTAAAAATTGTGATGAGCTAAAAACACACCATATTCACATTTTCTTTATATGACAGTTTTAGGGTCTGAAATCAGAGTCCTGACCTTGCTAGACTGGCAATCTACCACTTTCTTGGTTAAGTTAATGGTTAGGGTGTTGAGTTAATGATTAGGGTATTGTTATTTTTAGGCTATTATAAATGAATTGTTTTCCTACTTTCTTTCTTAGCTTGTTCACTATTGGAATATTAAAAAGTTACTAAGTTTTAAGTACTGATTTTATGTCCTGCTACATTCCCAAAGGTATTTATCAGCTATAGGAGTGTTTTTGTGGAGCCTGTGGAGTCTATTAAATATAGGATCATATCATCTGCAAAGAGAGATAATTTGACTTCTTCCTTCCCTACTATGTATGGATGAGAATGGGATAGTGAAGTCTCCCACTATTACTATGCTGGGGTCTATCACGGCTTTTAAGCCCAGAATTGCCTTTTTAATAAACCTGGATATGTCACTATTTTGTGTATATCTGTTAAGAAGTGTAATTTCCTCTTCATAGATCATTCTCTGAAGTGACCTTCTTTGTCTATTCCGACTGGTACTAGTTCATAGTCAATTTTATCAGCTATAAGAATGGCTACTCAAGCTGGGCACCGGTGACTCACACTTGTAATCCTAGTTACTCAGGAGTCTGAGATCTAAGAATCGTGGTTCAAAGCAAGCCCGGGCAGGAAAAGTCTGTGAGACTCTTATCTCCAATAAACCACCATAAAACTGGAGGTGGCACTGTGGCTCAAATGGCAGAGTGTTAGCCTTGAGCTGAAGAGCTGAGGGACAGCGCCCAGGCCCAGAATTCAAGTCCCACCACCAATAAAAAAAAAAAAAAAAGAATGGCTACTCCTGCCTGTTTATAGCAGTCCATTTGCTTGAAAGATCTTTACCCATCCTTCTATCTTGTCAGTGAAGTGTTGAGGGTTTTGGTGTTTTGTTTTTTTTTTGTTTCCTTGGTTTTGTTTTGGCTTTGTTTTTTTAGGTAATGAATGGTTGGGTCTTGCTTTTGATCCAGGTTTCCATTGTATGTCCTTTAAGTGGAGAGTGAAAACCACTAATGTCCAACATTACCATTGAAATACATGCCACATTTCTTGTCATTTGAATCTTGCCTGTTCCTGCTTAGTGTATCTATGCATCTAGGAGGGTCTATTATTTCAACTATTTTCCTGCTTTTGAATTTTCTTATTCTGTGTTGGATTCTTTCATCTTTTGCAGTCCTTGTTTAGTAGTCACAAATTCTTCTAGATCTGTATATTATGGAAGGTTTTCATTTCTCCATCAATTATAAAGGATAGCTTTCCAGATACAATTTTTATCTCTCAGGGTTTGAATTATTTCTTTGCATACCTTCCTTGTTTAGAATTTGTGTTGAGAAATATGCTGTTATTCTAATGGGCTTGACATTGTAAGTAACTTGTGTTCCCTTTTTTGCAGCTTTAAATATTCTTTCTTTAGGGATGGGAATGTAGCATAGTGGTAGAGTGCTTGCCTTGCATGCATGAAGCCCTGGGTTCAATTACTCAGTATCACATAAACAGAAAAGGCTGGAAGTGGCGCTGTGGCTCAAGTGTAGAGCACCACCTTGAGCACAGAGGCTCAGAACAGTGCCCAGGCCTTGAGTTTGAGCCCCAGGACTGGCAAAGAAAATAAATAAAAAATATTCTTTCTTTACTCTGGATATCTAGTGCTTAAACTAAAATGTGTCCCGGGGTGTTTCTTCTCTGATACTGCTTTTTGCTGTTCTATAAGCCTCTACCACATGGATGACCCTCTCTTTCTCAAGCATGGGGAAGTTTTCTGTTTGTTATTTCACTGAATAGGTTCTCAGTGCCTTTACTTTATAGTTGTTCTCCCTTGTCTAGGCCTATGATTCAAAAGCTTGATTTTCTTCATGGAATCTGAGCATCTTGTAAGTTTCCTTGGTATCTTCTAAAGTGTTTTTATTTAATGTCTGTGACTGTTTGATTTAATGCAAATGCTTTATCCTCAACCAATGATATCATGGTTTCAACTTCTGTTCTATTAGCTAGGCTTCTGATTAAGTTTTTAATTTAAGCTACTGAGCATTTCATTTCCAGGATTTTAATTTTATTTTTTTCAAGATTTCTATCTTCATTGACCTTCCTCTTTCATATCTCCATTGCCTTCTTTATTTCATTGGCCATTTTTTCCACCATTTTATCCAGTTCATTGTTTAAGCTTTAATCCTCTTCATTATCACTTAAGTCTTTTATTGTGGAATTGTTAGTTTTCGAGAGACACGTTCTTTGTTTATTCATAAAAGTAATGATTTTTCATTGGGATTTGTGCACCTGGGGGTAAAGATCTAGTGAAGCTTTCATTCTGCTGTGTCCTTTTAGTTGGTTATTTCTTATAGATTACGCAAGACTGGGTAATGGCTATGTTGAGGTGTATGCTCCTATTATTAGATTGAAGGGATGAGTCTTCACTGACAGTCAATTTTTATGCCCCTTACTCCCCAAATTTTTAACATTAAAAGATGTTAAAAACAGATGAACCCTAAGTCTCAACAAGTCTAGTTCATTTGGTGATGCCACAAAAATTCTAAAACAATTAAAAATGTCCATGTTAGTTTATTCCTCCATAACTCTTAGAGTAGCAGAATACAAAGGTCACCAACCCAAAGTAGAAAGGACAGTTGTAAATGCCAATCACATAGAAGGCAACAATCTGGAAAGTTTTACAAAATCACTTGAAGAGAAAGAGCAAATCCTTCAATGCTTCCTTCCTTCCTTCCCTCCATCCCCCCTCCTCATTTTGAAGTTCAGCTTTCTGAAATCCTATGTCTAATTTTCTGAAAGTCACTGTGACCTGACAGAGACTTCACGCAAGGGTATCTAATAAATCTTGACTTTCAGCTTTCCTTATTTCTTCTTGTGATCTGAGCCAAACTTCTTAACATTTCAAGCCTGAATTTCCTATCTATAGAGGTAAGATCCATCTTGTAAGGTTAGTGTAAGAATTAAAGACAGGTACTTTTATAAAAGTCTGGGCATAATGCCAAACCTATTTGTGATAGCTAGGCACTCAATAGTAGCCATTAACAAATGTGCCTCTATAGTCTTTCTCATTCTTGAGCACATATCCCTTTGAAAGCAGACCTACTATTCTTCTTTATCTTTCCTAGGTTTCTCTCTGTAAACACATAGTTAACTTCAGATGTCTGCTGCCTTTGAAAACTTGAAGATAAACTTTGGTATAGCTAGACTGGTAGTAGACAAACTACAAAGGATTTTCCACATATAATCACATTTAGTGTGAAATTCATTAGTATTATTAAAGTTTTCTTTTCCTCTTTTTGTGTTGTTATAAAACTGGGATTTGAACTCAGGTGCTCTACCACTTGAGCTATACCTCTAGCCTTATTTGCTTTTATTTTTTTGAGTAGGAGCTCACTTTTTACTTGGGTAGGTCTAGACTTTGATCTTTTAATTTATGCTTCCTGAGTAGATGGGATAACAAATGTGTACCATTTTGCCCAGTTTTTATTGCCTGAGATAGAGTCTTGCTAACTTTTTGCCTGAACAACTCAAGCTTTTGAATAGCTAGGATTATAGGTGTGAGCCACCATGCCCAATTAGTTTCTCTTTAAGGAGCATATAAGTTACATAAAGGTATGAATATATTCATGTACCCTGAAGAATTATATAAATATGTCTTAAAGATGCTATTTCTTTTATTATTTAAGTTTCAGACATTTGATTGTTAGATTTATATATATATATATTTTTTTTTTTTTTGCTTTGTTTTGTTTTTTTGGGTCCGGTCGTGGGGCCTGAACTCTGGGCCTGGGCGCTGTCCCTCAGCTCTTCAGCTCAAGGCTAGCACTCTACCACTTGAGCCACAGCGCCACTTCCGGCTTTTTTCTTTTTGCTTATGTGGTGCTGAGGAATCGAACCCAGGGCCTCAGGCATGCAAGACAAGCGCTCTACCACTGAGCCACCTTCCCAGCCCTGATTTATATTGTTTTAAATTGATACTTCATATAATATTCTAATAATGAATATCACTATCTTCTAAAGCTTTAGGATCAAGCTTTTGCCCTTATCCTGAAAAACTCTTAAAATTCTTTTAAAGTTCTGATGCTGTACTGTGGCTTCAATACAGGGCTTTGAGCTCTTGCTTAGCTTTTTTTTTTTTTTTTTTTTTGTTGGTCATGGGGCTTAAACTCTGGGCCTGGGTGCTATCCCTCAGCTCTTCAGCTCAAGGCGAGCACTCTACCACTTGAGCTACAGCGCCACTTTTGCTTAGCTTTTTTGTTCAAGGCTGAGGCTTTATCATCTCTACTACCAGGTTTTTTTTAATGGTTAATAGGAGATAAGAGTCTCGTGGATTTGTCTGCCTGGGATGGCTTTGAACCTCAGTCCTCAGATCTCAGTCTCCTGAGTAGCTAGCCATCAACACCTGGCTAGTACTTCAGATTTAAATATACTCTATAAAGAACTTTGAGATATAAACCTGCTCACAAAAAAGACTTCAAAATAAAAATGCATAAAACTACAGATAATAGAAAATTGCATTTTTAGAAATCAATTTCAGTCAGTCTTACCATATGTGGGCTAGTAAAGTAGAAGGTAAACCTGTTTTCAGGAATATTTCACGGACCTCCATTCCAGACACAAATCCATCCATATCTTTATCAGTTTTCAGGAAGATTTCATCATATTTAGCTTTTTCTGCAGAGGATACAACCCACTAGAGAGGAGAGAAAAAAACAGTATTTCTGCCAAATAAAATAAACTTTGAAGTTCACTTGTTCAACCTACAGCAGTAGCTGTCCCAAATTCGGAACAGATATTTCCTACTAAATATTACAGTCATGCTTCATCTCTGTTGTATTGAAACTAAAATACTGCAGTAAAGAGAAAATTACAAAAACACAATTCAGCTGAGAGTATATTTGCATATGCTAATTTTACTTTTATTTCCCTTTTAAGTATGATGAAACACCTGACCTGTTATGATTCCCACATTAATACAAGTAACTGGCAAAGTTTGTATGAAGAAATATTTAAATAGTTTTTTATTTTCATTTTCTATAGTTCTGTCCAGAATTCTTAACTGTAGCCAAATTGGCCAATTTGTTCATGCTAACAATCTGACAAGAAGCAAGTCAGAGAAAGAAAAAGACCATGCACCACTCTAAACAGATAATTTGATCCTAAAGATTCAAGAGGTAACTGGACGTTAAACAAAAACATTTATTAATTATGCAGGGCAATCATGCAGTGTTAGCACATAGTATCTTTCACCTCTATTTTTTTTTTCCTTTCTTCTTTTTGCCAGTCCTGGGGCTTGAACTCTGGGCCTGGGCATGGTCCCTGAGCTCCTTTTGCTCAAGGTTAGCACTCTACTACTTGACCCACAGCACCACTTCTGGCTTTTTCTATAATTTGAGATAAAAGTCTCACTAGACTTTCCTGCCCAGGATGGCTTCGAACCTCCATTCAGAGATCTCAGTCTTCTGAGTAGCTAGGACTATAGGCATGAGCCACTGGTGCTGGCTCACCTCTAGTTTTAATGGCAGGTAGATAAAAGCATAGTCAACAAGGTTTGACCTAAGGAAATATAGAGGAATATTTGTTTCCTCTGGACCATCACATTATGTAGGATCAACCAGAGGGAGCTCCAAATCTTTAATCCCTTTGATTGTTCCTTCTAGTTTTATCAAGTAATCAACTGTTAAATGTCATGCACTTTGTTAAAAAAAAAATCCTTTCATGCTGGTAAATCTATACCTGTCTTAACGATGCTTTGGTAGTTGGAATGCCTACAGGTGGTAAGTAGTAAGATTTCTTGGCTGATGCTGAAGAGGGAACCAACTGCATAGAGCCCAATATACTGACCGTTTGTCTCTTAGAAGGTGGCACCAAGGCAGCAGGCAAGGACATTGGCACAGGTTCTTTCTCCAGTGCGCAGTATACCAAAAACATGGCCTTCAAAATAGATGAATCAGGGTAACATATATTAAAATTATTTAACAACATTCATTCTTCAACAACAAATCATATTGAAAGTGTCTCAAATGCTTTTTTGATAGACCAGGCATGGTGGTACAAGATTATAATTCCAGCTACTTATGAAGCAGAAATAGCAGTATTACAAGTTTGAGGCCAGGCTGGACAGTCAGCAAGAGTCTGTCTCAAAACATAAAATACAAGCCAAACGGGCTGAAGGGTAGCATGGCTCAAGTGACAGAATGCTTGCCTGGTATGCCCTAGGTTCAATCCCCTGTGCTAAAAAAAAAAAAAGAAAAAAGAAAAGAAAAAGAAAAAAAGGGGGAGGGGGAGAGGGCAGAGAAGGAGAGGAAGAAAAATGAGGGAAGAGGGGAGAGAGAGGAGATGTTGGGAGGAAAAGAGGAAGATACAAAAAGGAAGAATAGTAAGAATTCAAAAGCTAAGAAATTTATAGGAAGATATCCTGAGTAGAAAAAAACAGTAATATACACACTCTTTAAAAGTTTTTTCAGGGGCTGGGAAGGTGGCTCAGTGGTAGAGCGCTTGCCTTGCATGCCTGAGGCCCTGGGTTCGATTCCTCAGCACCACATAGCAAAAAGAAAAAAGCAGGAAGTGGCACTGTGGCTCAAGTGGTAGAGCGCTAGCCTTGAGCTGAAGAGCTGAGGGACAGCGCCCAGGCCCAGAGTTCAGGCCCCACGACTGGACCCAAAAAAAAAAAAGTTTTTTCAATGACAAAAACAAATGACAATTTGTGGGGAAAATATTATCTATAGCAATATTCTAATATTTAAGTATTCCTAGAAATTAATGTACAAAAGAAAAATAGAAAACGTATGAATAGACATTTTACAGAAATATTAAAAATGTCTTTATCTTTAACAAAAAATATGCTCAATTTCACTCATAAGAATACTACAAGGGGCAGGATATTGGTGGCATTTTGTCTTTAAAGCACATAGGAATAGTTCTTTGGTTACTATACTATAAAGGTGAAGGATGGTATGTATATCTCATTTGTATTGTTCCAGTTTTCACATTTATTTCATTAAAAAGAAACATGAACAGGGTGATGGTGGCTCATGCCTACAGTCCTAGCTACCCAGGAGGCTGAGATCTGAGGATTTCAGTTCGAAGCCAGCCCAGGCAGAATAGTCTGTGAAACTTTGATCTCCAATTAACTACTAAAATACCTGGAAGTGGAGCTGTGGCTCAACTTGACTAAATCTCAGGAACAATATTCAGGCCCTGAGTTCAAGCCCTAGGATCAGAATAAAAACAAAAACAAAAACAAAGGACTACTTCACAGAATAGAACTATATTCATGTGGAACTTACTCCATAAAGTGACCAATAATTGGGATTTAGACATTTTTTCCATTCAATGACAATAGCATAATTTAATGCATATTTTGAGTTTTTAATGCTAATATAAGAGAGAAAAATTTAGCACTTCTGCAAAATGATTTCTTAATGTGTCAAAAGAAACTTCCTACTAAATTAAATGAGTCAGAAGTAAATATCATGGAGATATAATTCTAATATCTATATGCTCTCATCCGATTATTCATCAATCAGTACATAGAATGCTGATACACTATTTTTTGGTGCCGGTCCTGGGGCTTGAACTCAGGGTCTGGGTACTGTCCTTGTGCTTCTTTTGCTCAAGATTAGCACTCTACCACTTGAGTCACAGCACCACTTCTGGGTTTTTCTGAGTAGTTTGTCGGAGATAGACTCTCATGGACTTTGCTGCCCTGGATGGCTTCAAACTGTGATCCTCAGATTTCAGCCTCCTGAGTAGCTAGGATTACAGGAATGAGCCATCAGCACCTGGTAGGAATAGGTATAATTTTTAAAGTTTGTATTCTTTTTTGTGTGTACATCCATATATACGAAAGATGCTCAGAAGTAATTTTAGGTATTGCTAGAACATCCATACATGACAAGGTCTTTTAGAAATGTACTTAAAAAAAACTAAACACTCAAAGGTATTCTAGATCTGGATTTTTAATTAAACCACTAGATTTCAGATTATATGAAAGAGTATTCAAAGGAACAAGCCATTAATTAAAAGTTTTCATGGCAATGTAAATTATATGTTAACTTCACTGATTCCACCACCCAATTAAAAACAACTTATCCAAGTTCCCACTTATTCGTATAAAATTTATTTTTTGGGGGGTCCAGTTGTAGGGCCTGAACTCTGAGCCTGGGCGCTGTCCCTCAGCTCTTCAGCTCAAGGCTAGCACTCTACCACTTGAGCCACAGCACCACTTCCAGCTTTTTTCTTTTTGCTTATGTGGTGCTGAGGAATCAAACCCAGGGCCTCAGGCATGCAAGGCAAGCGCTCTACCACTGAGCCACCTTCCCAGCCCCTTGTATAAAATTTTAAAAATAGAATTTTTATATTTAGAACATTCAATCAAGTTTTGACAAATTAGTGAAGTAATTATTTCTAAAACAAATCTGTACTATAATTCAACATACCAAGTTACAATGAATGATTAACTTCATTTTCATTTGTTTCCATTAAAAAAAATAAACTGAGAGCAGGATATCAGGTCTTTAAAACAAACAAACAAACAGACAGCACATAAGAAAAGGTAAGGCCTGAAACATTCTTTCTCTCTCTCTCTCTCTTTTTTTTTTTTTTAAAGACCGGAGTCTCACTGTGTAGCCAGGCTAGCCTTGAACTTGCAAACTTCCTCCGATTGGGATTGTAGACATGTGCTACCAAGCCCTGACAACAGAATGATTCCTAATATTAATCCAGTTTTGATTGATTAGTAAAATAAGATATGCTAGGGGAGGGTCCTATATAATGTTTCAACAAATCAAAAATTTTCTGAGTAATACATTACCTTGACATTTCATTTAGGAAGACAACTGAAAATGTTCAGGTCTTAGTTACTGTACTATTGGAAAAGGTCTTTTTAATTTTCTTTTTTTTTTTTTTTTGCCAGTTCTGGGGCTTGAATTCAGGATCTGAGCTTCTTTTGGCTCAAGGCTAGCACTCTATTACTTGAGCCACAGTGCCACTCGAGCTTTTTTGGAATTGAACCCAGGGCTTCATGAATGCTAGGCAAGCACTCTACCACAAAGCCACATACCCAGCCTAGTTCATTTCTTTTAAAAAGTAATTTTTTAAATTACTTCAACTTTCAAGGAATAGACCAAATCTTAAAATTCGTATCTAAAATATGAACGTTTATAACTAAATTGTATAAAAAACAAGTCATAAGTCACATGACTTAAAAGTTTTGGTTAGGCTGCTATGTTGTGCCAATTATAATTCTGAAAAAAGTAGCTACTTATGAATGAAAGCAGTATCACCTAAGCCCAGAATCTCAAGAACACATCTAAAAATAATGTAATAAAAGAGTTTTTTTTTTTTTACTTTCATGGAATTAAAGAATGGAAACTGATGTATCAAGCAAGTTCTAAACTAAAGAAAAGCTTGTGAAAACAAAATTTTCTGAAGAATTGTATGTAGAAAATAGCAAATGTGGCAAAATGATTAACTAGCAGTAGTCTAGAAGACATCATATTTACTATCTAAAATAAAATGGTAGTATGTTTATTCTTAATTTATTATTTAAATTTTTTAATATTCTAGGGCTTGGACCTTATCCATGGTAAAGCCAGCACTGTGCCACTTGAGCATGCACTCAACATATTCTTTTAAATAAAAGCTTATTATTATTATTTCCAGTCCTGGACCTTGAACTTGGGGGCCTCAGAACTGTCTCTGAGTTTCTTTTTGCTCAAGGCTAGCACTCTGTCACAAGACCCACAGCACCACTTCTGGCTTTTTCTATGTGGAATGGAACCCAGGGCTTCATGCATGGTAGGCAAACACTTTACCACTAAGCCTCATTCCCAGCCCATAAGCTTATACATATATGTATATATACATATATATATATATGTATATATATATGTACACACACAGCCTAATAAAAGGCTGCAGGACATATAAGATAAATAGCATTTATTGTTACATTAACCTAAACTATACTATTTAACAAAGATAATATTATTTTCCATCTATCCTAATTATATTAATACAAATGATCCTTTAATGACTTACAATGCAAAGATCTGATACCAATATTCTTTTTAGCTAGGTAAGTTTAACAGTACACTAATACTCATACAAAAGAAGCAGGTAGTATGTATAATTAAAATTGACCATGTTTCAAAGTGCATCATGTATCAAATCTCTTCAATATATTGACTTATATATCAGTGAGATAAGTTGTGGTGGGGTTTTTTTTTTAGGGGGGCGTCATGGGGCTTGAACTCTGGGCCTGGGCGCTGTCCCTCAGCTCTTCAGCTTAAGGCGAGCACTCTACCACTAGAACTACAGCGCCACTTCCAGTTTTCTGGTGGTTAATTGGAGATAAGAGTCTCACACTTTCCTGCCCAGGCTGGCTTAGATACATGATCCTCAGATCTCAGCCTGCTGAGTAGCTAGCCAGGATTACAGGCATGAGCCACTGGTATACGGTTTAACTTTTTTTTTTCTGTGTATACAAGACTGAGTAATGGACCCAAGGTTTCATGCATGCTAGGCAAGCATTCTACCACTAAGCCACATTGCCAGCCCAGTGGGATGTTTTATCACCATTTTGAGTATATGTCCTGCCATTTTCTAACCATCATCTGAATTAAGACAAAAGTTACTAGAGACCTGTGACCATGAATTCAAGTCACTTTAAGTTTCTGCATTTTTAAAATGTGATATATATATATATGTATATATGTATATTCTATTACAGGTTAACATTTATGAAAGGAAGGAGGGGGAAGAAGAAAAGAGGAGAAACAAAACAGAGAAATTACATGATCCAAAAGACAATTTTCAAAGATCAATAAAGTAGATACTGGGTTAAAAAATAAAAATATGCAAGATTCAGAATCAGAAAATAGTATAACCAAAGACCCAATAGAGATTAGAAGAAAAATACAAATTTGTGGCAACAAGTTTGAAAATAAAACAGAGGTTTCCTTAGCAAAATAGGGGTAGAAAACTTGAACATATGAGTTTCAATGTAAGAGAATGAATGGGAGACTAGAGATTTAACATTGTTGAGTCCACAGAAGTTTTATCTAACTATTAATGAGGAGAATATCCTATTACTAAAATGTAATTTCAGATAGGATTTTGTACCAGAAAAAGGTCAACTTTCTATGTTTTTATCAAGTAAAATGTAGTTAGTGCTATTCATGTTTTTTTTTTTAGTGAAATAAATGTGAAAACTGGAGTAATACATTTAAGACAAGTGAGAAATACAAAAATAATACTACCCTTCCTCTTAAAAGTACAGTAACCAAAGAACTTCTATGTGCCTTAAAGACAAAATAAAGACCGCAAAAACATACATCTTCTGTTACTCATTTATTTTAAAGTATTTATTTATAAGTTCCAAATAGAAATGTTTATGCCAGCAATCCTTCTAAGGATGAATTAAAAGAGAAAATTTTCATGAGAATGGTGGTGCACACCTTATAATTTTAGTGCTTACAGGGAAGGGGACTGGGGTTGGGGTGGGTGAGGCTGGAGGATCATAAGTTCAAGGGCATCCTGAGTTGCATGGCAAGTTCCACGCCAGCCTGAGGCAAATAACACATTCTAGTTCAAAGAGAAAGAGAGAGAATTTCACATCATAGAACCATTAACATGTTTCAGACCTTAAGAAATCAAGTTACTTACAACTGCAAATTCATCTCTGTCAAGCTTTCCATCATGGTCAATATCACTTAACTCCCAAACCTTAAAAAACAGAAATGAGAAAACTTAATGTGTGTGTGTGTGCGTGCGTGTGTGCATGTGTATGTGTGTATTTGGAGCCAAGGAGAGAAAGTATACTAATGACATATAAGAATAGAGATAAATAAACTCTTGGTCATTAAGTGCTTTGAAAGGAAGTTGGATTTCATCTTAATTGCATTGAGAAGCTACTGATTTATTTTAAGTAATAAAATGACAAGATTATTTATTGCTTAGGAATCTCAAATTTACCACACAATAGAAAAGTAGTGGAAATAATAATAAAAAATGGCTTTTAAAATCAGTATTTATTGAGCATATAATTTATGTAACACTGATCCAGCAACAGTAGTAGTACTAATACTGGAGATAATGTGGTGATCATCATTCTCATCATTACAATAGTAGTTAGCAATTAAAGAATATGTACAAGCACCATATAACTATATTACATAATCACATCTAATACTAACAATCCCATAAACTAGAAATTATGCCCTTTTTAAAGTTAACAAACATGGTTATATATGACTTGCCCAAGATCACACATAAGGAGCAGTGTAGCCAAGACTTGATCCTATGTAATCTACTTAGGCAGAAGTTCTTTTTTTTTAAGGGCTGTAGATTTAGAGAGTAGGTAAAGTTGAAATATGAAGAGTGGAGAAAAATCACTTTGAAACAGCACAAGAATGACAGGTAGTAGAAGCTCAAGTGAAGCTGGTGATCATGAATTTATGATGACACCAATCTTATTAGGCTTTCTCAGGAGTCTGTAAAGCAACTGAAGAGAAAATAGATAATTAGCTTAATGAAAAACTGGATGTTTAGTAAAAAAAGATTTCGTGGCAAAGTTGAAAAAATGCTTTCGAGAATCTATGAAAAAGATCTAAAAAGTCAAGGAAGAAATGGATGGAGCTAGAAGGAATCATGTTGAGCGAGGTAAGCCAAGAACGAAGAGACAAACAGTACATGGTCTCCCTGATAAGTGGATGCTAAGTCCAAAATGTTAGGTGATACGACAAAACTAACAGGACTAAAGAAACAAAGAACTCCCACTCATCTGGTTGAACCACTACTAAATATCCCCATGCTGCTGATCACAAATATGGTATATAACATGTGAACACTGTTATATATTACAGACTGTCATAGACAATTTGCTCCAGGAAAGTTAGAATGAACTTGTGACTTTGAAATTATGTAATCACTTAATCACAATCAAAAAAAAAAAAAAGAACCTCGGGGAAGGGAGGGAGGGAGGGGATGGTAGGGGGAAAACAATGGAGGGGGTAACAATGTTCAAGAGGAAGTGTACTCATTACCTCACTCATGTAACTGTAACCCTCTGTATAGTATCTTTACAATAAAAAAAAAGTCAAGGAAGTTGAGAGTAGAACTTATGAATTCATCAGGCAGAAGATGGAAGAAGAATGTGGCAGATAAGAACTAAAGATGTGGATGTGAAATGATGGGCTCAAAAAGCCCACATTAGGGAAAAAGTAACTGCAAAAGAGTCGGGCACTGGTGACTCATGCCTATAATCCTAGCTACTCAGGAGGCTGAGATCTGAGGATCACTGTTCAAAACCAGCCAGGAAAACCCGTGAGACTCTTATCTCCAATTAACTACCAGAAAAACAGAAATTGCACAGTGCCTCAAAGTGGTAGAGGACTAGCCTTGTGCAAAAAACCTGAGGGACAATGTCTATGCCCTGATTTCAAGCCCCAAAGCTGAAAAAAAAATTTTTTTAATTTACAAAAAAAAGGGGGATAGTGTTTTAGTTTATAGACTAAAAGAAGCCATAAGGATGAATGGTAGTGATGGCTGCACAAAAATATGAATGTATGTCTCAGTATTGAAATTTAAATTGATTTAAATTTTCAACTGATTAATGTGGCAAATTTCATGGTAAGGGTACCAAGCCACAATTTAAAAGATAGAGGGATAGAGGGAAAGTAAGAGTTTGAGGTTTAAAGGTCTTGATGAAATCAAGAAACTAAAAGTCTTGCAAAAATCTAGGAAAAGGTTCTAGAAAGCACATAAGTTCAAGTTAGAATAGAATTTACAATTTTAGAGACGAAACAATTCCTTACAACAATATGAGGTAAAGTGCAGATATAAAATATTGATATTGATAGTCTTTAAACAGTGTTGAAGAATTGGGAAGTCACAGCATGCAGCACTCAGAAAAATGGTCTTACCCAAGGAGCTTATACATATAACTAATTTTGACTACTCACGTTTGATAGGGAATAACCAAACAAACTGGTAATATTTTTATATATTAAGAACACACTGAGCCAGGCACTGGTGGCTTAGGCCTGTAATCCTAGCTACTTAAGAGACTGCAATCTGAGGATCACAGCTTGAAGCCAGCCCTGAGAGGGAAGTCCGTAAGACTCCTATCTCCAATTAAACACCCAAAAACTGGAAGCAAAACTATGGCCCAAACTTAGAACACTAGCTTTGAGCAAAAGCCCAGGGACAGCACCCAGGTCCTGAGTTTAAACCCCATGACTAACAACAACAATAAAAAAAGAACACAGAAAATTCTATAATGATACAACTTTAAAACAAGATACAATGTTTTATAATGTTTTTTATAAAATTAAAATATACACAAATAACATTTAAAATTTACTATCTTACTCTCCCAAGGATTTCCACAGGTAACTTAGAGTTGAGCAATACTGGTTTCACTTTATCACCAGACAAAAATCCATCCACGGGGCTTAAACTGTCAAAAATGGCATCATATTTGGCCTTATCTTCAGCCTAGAAGACGAAAAAGATGACCAGTAAAATAATAGTGAAAAAGATTCAACTTCAGTTACAGAAATCAAGTTCTCAAAGAATAGATCTTGTATTTTTAAAACATTTAAGTCAAGTAAGTCAGGCCCCGATACGCAAAAGCTGCATATTTTCTCTCAAATGTGATAGTTCGTAAATGTAGTAGTAATTACACTGGCTAGTATGCAAGTGTATAAAAATTATTAACTGAAATACAATAGACTCAAGGAAGAACTCAAATAGTGTAATTCCTTAGAAAAGCAAAGTCAACAAAATAACCACTAGGAAATGGGTACTTGAACAATATGGGGTGGGCTCAAGGAGAGAGGAATATCAGAACGAAGAGAAGGCAGGGAGAATGCAGTTAGGAATTCCATGTATATACTATAAAATTAAGAAAAGCTAGCAAAGTATAGGTTGGAAGGAAAGCAGTGACGCTGTATTCACAAACAGCTTTGTTGAATGGCAATTTCTTTGTACAACCACTTAAAAAATACACATATGTATATATACATATGTAAAAAGATATATACATATACATATATACATATGTATAGATATATACATATACATGCATGTATAAAGATATATATATATATATATATATATATACACACATATTTGCTGGGAACCAGTGGCTCACATCTATAATTTAGCTACTCAGGAGGCTGAGATCTGAGGGTTGGGGTTTGAAGTTAGCCTGGGCAGAAAAGTCTGTGAGACTCTTATCTTCAATAAACTACTCAGAAAAAGCTGGAAGTGGCACTGTGGCTCAAGTGGTAGGACCCTCGCCTGAACAAAAAGGTTCAGGGACAGTTCTAGGCTCAGAGTTCAAGTCCCAGGACCAGCACACACACACAAAAAAAACAACAACCAAAAAACAAAAAACCTCCCACAACTTTTCAGGATACCTTTCAAAGAAGCATCTCATGTCATAGACATGATGTACTATGAAAAACATTTTTAAAAAAGAAAAAAAAGGAAGAAGATTTGCTAACAGTCTTTTAAATTTTATTTAAAAAAGGATATATCTGTAAAATGTTCTAGCAAACATCATTAAAAATTTTTCCTACTTAAAATATGTTTTCCTATTTAAAAATATAAGTAAAGCTGGGCACCAGTGGCTCACGCCTAAAATTCTAGCTGCTAAGGAGGCTGAGATCTGAGGATTGAGTTTAGAAGCCAGCCTGGGCAGGAAAATCTATGAGACTCATATCTCTAATTAACCATAAAAAGCCAAAAGAAGAGCTGTGGATTAAAAGGTAAAGCTTTAACCTTGAGCACAAAAGCTTAGGGACAGCACCCAAACCCAGAATTCAAGCCTCAGAGCCAGTAAAAATAAATATAAACAAACAAACACACATAAACATACATATGTACATACCATTCATTTTCATCAAAATGGCTCAGAGTAAATAATAACTTCAAAGTAACTCTACTCAGGAGTCTAATGTACTCTATTCCTCTTGCAGTTGGAACACTATCTGTTTTTTTATTGTTTAGTTAGAAATGAAAAATATCGCAGATTGAAGAGCTTTGAAGAGAACAGAGTCTGAGTATTGAAGACTAGTCCAGTACCAGTTACCACACTTGAACATACATATGAAAGTCTAACATAGATTGCACTATATTTTGGAAGTAGGGGAAGGAAAAACATGTAAGTAGGAAGCAAAGTAAGAGTAAGAAGTGAATAATTATGAAGTTTACTTACTTTTACAGCCCATGGAAGCTCAACTGCAGAGGGTCCACTAGTTAGCAAAGGACTACCGGTATCATGCTAAAACATAAACAGTACAAAAACTGAAATTCTCATATTAATAAGTAATGAAGAAAAAGTCGTCTTGTGGTAGGGACATGGCTCAAACGGTAGAGTGCCTGATTAGCAAGCAAAAGGGCCTGAATTCAAAACCCAGTACCAGCCACCCCTCAAAAGAAAAGTCTCTGCATTTAAATATATTCATATAAAACACTTAGTTATCACTGCATTTAGAACACTATTTTAAACTAAGTAGATTTTCACCTATTTTTCATTGCAACAAAACCTTTATACTTAGCCACATAAATCATTGTATAGCATTAAAATATGCAAGTATTACAGAAGAAATCCTCCTATAACTGAGATAAAGATAGAGGTATCTGAATGTTAACAGAAATAAGTAAATGACCTCTTAATAGATAACTTTTTTCCAGTAAGATTTAAGGAAAGCATTCAGGAAAACTCCACCTTAGCATTTGTTACTAGTACATGATACACAATTTATGCTCATCTGGCTAAAGAGACAAATGATTGGGCTGGGAAGGTGACTCAGTGGTAGAGGGCTTGCCTTGCAAGCCTGAGACCCTGGGTTCCATTCCTCAGCACCACATAAGCAAAAAGAAAAAAGCCGGAAGTGGCGCTGTGGCTCAAGTGGTAGAGCGCTAGCCTTGAGCTGAAGAGCTAAGGGACAGTGCCCAGGCCCAGAGTTCAGGCCCCACAATTGGACCCCCCCCAAAAAAGAGAGACAAATGATTATATTTTTAAAATCTTAACAATAATATAGTTAGGCAGTAAATCTCTATATTAAACCCTTGATACCATATCTAAATAGAGATGTGCAGACATTCTCAAAATAGTTAAATTCTCAATGTTTCTAAAATAGTAACTCTAAAAACAAACAAGAAGGATTGGGGATACAGCTCAATATTGCCCTAGTATACACAAGGCTTGATCTTCAGCACTACCAAAAATAAAATGAAATAAAATAAAAAACAAAAGCCATTAAATTTCTGAGAAAAAGAGTAGGGAGGACCAATCATGTCAAAGAAAAAGCCTTACCAATTTATAATAAAAACAATGTAAAACTAACACATAAACAAATTAATAAGACCAAAAAAAATCCATCAAGAAACCAAAATACATATGACAATTCAGCTCATAATTGAGTTAAATTTCAAATTGACATTTCAAATCTTTTCTTTACCAAAAGTAAAGATTATTCAATACACTGTTCTAGGCTATGCAGTGTAGCTATCTTGAAAAAAAAAACACAAACCTGAATCATACTTATACCTACAACAGAACTAACTTAAAATGTAAAAAAGAAGAAAAGGTTTAATTTGACAAAATATTCATATAAACATTTTGTCATGGAAAAAAAATTAATACCCAATATCTTTAAAAGACAAATGACAAACTGAGAAAACATACTTGAAACTCATAAAGACAAAGTTAAGAACAGCAACTGAAGAAAAATAAGCCATGACAATACTTAAGACATTCACACAAAAACAATGTAAATGTCTCAAAAGCAGAAAAGCTATTCAGTGTCACAAAAAAAGGGCCAAAAGGAAAAAAAAATCAGAATTTCACTTACATACCTTTGGTCACCAACCAAACTGACAAAGATCTAAAAGTCTCATAATAGTAAAGTGGCAAAAATATAGAGAAACAGGCATTTCTAGTTCAACAACTATAGAGGGCAAGTTGATAATATATATTATTTCCAAATTATACAGGCTACAGGTTGTATTTGTTTGTTTACTGGGCTGGTACTGGGGTATGAACACTGTCTTTTAGCTTTTTCCACTCAAAGCTAGTTTTCCATCACTTGAGCCACAGCTCCACGTTCAGGCTTTTTACTGGTTAATTGGAGAGAAAAAAGTCTATGGGCCTTCTTACCCAGGCTCACTTTGGGTGTTTTTTTTTAAATTATTTTTATTATCTTTAAGTAGTTGTACAAAGAAGTTCCCATTTTACAAAACAGTATATGAGTACAAAGTGACAACATTGTCACCCATCCCTCCAAACCCATCCCTTCTCTCACTTTTTTTCTTTAATTGAGATTAGGTGATTATATAAATTTCACATATTTCACAGTATTGTGGAATAGTGATATTTAAAGTCAGCAACACATTTTAACCTTCATAAAGGCAAATTGTCATTATCATTGTCTACACAGTTTGTGAATTCTATGAGCTTTGACAAAATAAGTTTGGTGTTTTTTTTTTTCCACATTGGGTGATGTTTACATTTCTTTCCTTTTGCTTAGTGTAGGTTGTTCCCACTTATTCTGTTCCTCCTCCTGGCTTCCCTCCATTGCGTGCATATATCTACCATATATATGGTCAAGAACATGGAGCCAGGACTGGGAAGGTGGCTCAGTGGTAGAGCGCTTGCCTTGCATGCTTGAGGCCCTGGGTTCGATTCCTTAGCACCACATAAGCAGAAAACGCTTGAAGTAGCACTGTGGCTCAAATGGTAGAGCACTAGCCTTGAGCTGAAGAGCTGAGGGACAGTGCCCAGGCCCAGAGTTCAGGCCCCAGGACTGGCAAAAAAAAAAAAAGAACATGGAGTCATATAGCAACGATATGACAAAATTGGTGGTTGTCCTTTGTTTCTTGAGTTGTCATATCTTCTTGTATTTTGACTTTAGCATCCACGTATCAGGGAGACCATGTGCCATTTTTCTCTTTGTTCTTGGCTTATTTCACTCAAAATACTCTGTTCTAGTTCCATCCATTTCCCTGTAAATGCCATTATTTTGTCCTTTCTTATGGCTACATAATAATCCATTGTATATAGGTACCACAATTTTTTGATCCACTCATCAGTAGTGGGGCATCTGGGTTGTTTCCAAATCTTGGCTATTGTGAACAGTGTTGCAATAAACATGGAGGTGCATGTGTCTTTGTATACTGGTTCCTGTTGTTCAGGGTAGATGTCTAGGAGTAGTATGGCTGTATTAGTATACATTCCTACCAGCAATGCAGTAATAGGGTTCCTCTTTCTCCACATCCCCTCCAGCATTTGTCGTTGGCTGACTTTAGGATGTGGCCATTCTGACTGGGGTAAGGTGGTATCTCAGTGTTGTTTTGATTTGCATTTCCTTTACAGACAGGGATGATGAATATTTCCTCATGTGTTTCTTTGCCATTTTTATCTCTTCTTCTGAGAAGTCTCTCTTTAGTTCCCTTGCCCATATCATGATTGGTTTGTTAGATTTGGGAATGGTTAGTTTCTTGAGTTCCCTGTATATAATGGATATTAGACCCTTGTCTGATATTTTGCTGGTAAATACTTTTTCCCAGTTAGTTGGCTTTCTTTCTAGTTTGGTTGCTATTTTTTTTGTCTGTGTATTAAGTTTTCATTTTAAGGTAGTCCAAGCACACTTTGAACTGTGATCCTAGGTATGGGTAATTATTAGTAGGAGAAGAAAAGAAATACTACCAGCCATAAAACAAGGAGGAAAATTCTATGTAATATGTAAAGATTTCTAAAACATTATTTTTAATTTTTTGCTTTCTGCTGGTACTCTACTACTTGAGCCACATGTCCAGTTTAAACACATTATTTTTATTTTTATTTTGTCAGCACTGGACTTGAACTCTGAGCCTGAGCGCTGCCCCTCAGCTCTTCAGCTCAAGGCTAGCACTCTATCCCTTGAGCCATAGCGCCACTTCCAGTTTTCTAGTGGTTATTGGAGATAAGAGTTTCACACCCTTTCCTGATGGGGCTGGCTTTGAACCGTGATTCTCAGATCTCAGCCTTCTGAGTAGCTAGGATTACAGGTGTGAACCACCGGCAACTGGCTTTGAGAGGGAGAGGGGGGAGGGAGCACAGAGGAGAGGATAGTTGGGCTTGAACTCTGGGCCTGGGTGCTCTCCCTGAGCTGTTCAGCTCAAGGCGAATGCTTCACCACTTGGGCCACAACGCCACTAATACACTAATTTTAAAGGTATGGAATCAAGGGTACAGGATACTACAGCTAATGGAAAATGAGAAAATATGTATTTATTATATTTATGTATACATGCAATTCTAAGGATACACATGAAACCACTAACCACAATAGTCACAGATGGCAAGGATTAACAAAGGAAAAATATTCTTAATTTCAAAGTACAGGCATATTTTTAATTAAATATCATTAATATATTAAAAACATTTCTTACAAATCTTGGTGGAGGAACAGCCAAGTTCAAGCTACTCAGTGAAACCTCCAATCCATTTTGGGCACAGGCCACAAGCCGCAAAGCAACAAAGAATTCCTGAAAGAAAAGCATAATGTTAAGAAAATACCTATCTAACTTCCTCCCATTTATACTTATTATCTGAAAACATAACTTACAATTATTCCATGATTTTATGTAGCAACAAGTATAATCACAAATTTGCTTCAAAATTATTTGCTCCAAAATTGAGAAAACAAATACATAAAAATTTTCCTAATAGTATAAATAGCAAATAACATTATAAATGGGAAAATATTTAAATTGTAGTATGTGCTAACAATGAAATTATACAGAATACTCATATTTCCAAAAACATTCAATGACCTTAATAAATATTTTCTATCATATATGTGAAAAAAAGGTCTGGGAAAGTGGTTTAGTGGTAGAGTGCTTGCCTAGCATGCATGAAGCCCTGGGTTCGATTCCCTAATACCACATAAACAGAAAAAGCTGAAATGGCGCTGTGGATCAAGTGGTAGAACACTAGCCTTGTGAAAAGCTCAGGGACAGTGCCCAGATCCTGAGTTCAAACCTCAGGACTGGCACCAAAAAAAAAAAAAAAAAGTTAAAAAAATTTGTATTTCTCTTTTTTGGTGCCAGTACTGAGGTTTTTTGGTTGCTAATTGGAGAATAGAGTTTCACAGACTTTTCTCCCCTGTCTGGCCTAGAACCTCAATCCTTGATCCTCAGATCTCAGCCTCTTGAATAGCTAGGATTACAGGTATGAGGTACCAATGTACAGCAGCTCCTTATAGTTCAAAAACTAGAATGAATCAATGAATGAATGAGTGAAAAGAATAGATGAAGTTAAGAAAAGAAGCTGAAGCAAATAATTTTCAGTTGTTTTGAGTTAGAGATAAATGAAAATTGGCATGAAAACAAAAGTCTTTACTCCAGTTTTTTTTCCCCCAGTCTGTCAGCATCTTGGTATGGTTGCTGACTCAATCCTTGGTTGCTGATTCACCCTTCACAACTTTTCCAATTCCCATTTCCATTTATGACCATCTTACCCACTTTCTGACCTTTTCTTATCATTTTGTAGGCTATATTCTTATACATCTTTGCCTTCAACCAAACTTTCTTGGGGGAAAAAAATGTTGTTTCAACATACTTCCTGTAGAGCTAGGAATTGCAGCTTAGTAGTAGAGTGCTTGCCTAGCATGCATGAGACCCTGGATTTGATTCCTAGCATGGAGGACAAAACTCTGATTTCCCAATTTCTTTTCATTTTCTCTACAACTGTGCAATCAATTCCCTAATTATAATATCACAATATCACAAATAATCTGGCTATCATAATATCACAAATATCCTGGCTACCAAGTATACCAGCCTCTGTTACTCTTTCATAAATGGGAAAAATTAATACTACCTATCTTGCAATATAATAGGAGCAACAAAATAAAACCTCAGCATAACAATGAAAGTATCAAGTGTCATTTTTGGCACACAGAAACTTAATAAGTATTGGCTTCTTTTATTTCTTTCATATGTTAATTTTAAATAAATCTATGCCTTTGTTATGAGTTAGATCTTATTCTAATATGTTAAAGGCTTAGTCCCCAGCTGATGATGCTATCAGGAGATGGTAGAAACTTTAAGAGATAGCACTTATTGGAGGAAGTAGTTAATATATGGTATATCCTGAAAGATAAATTGGGACTCCAGTCCTTTCTTTCTATTTCTTGGTTGCCAAGAAGTGGGCAGCTTTGCTCCACCTTGCCTCTTTGCTATTGTGGTCTGACTTACTACATGCCCAGAAATAATGGAGCTAAGTGACCATGAACTAAACCTTTGAAACTATGATCCAACACAATTCTTTCTTCTTCCTCAAGGAAAAAAATCTATGCCTGCAATGGAAATTTCAACAGAAGACTTATAAATACTGGCACTCGACATGTTAAAAAAAATTCAACTCAAAGTCCACGAACATAAGCAAAAAACTTATTACTTGTAAGATAGGGATCAATCATACCTGTAAAGCTATCCTATAATTTTGCCCCTGTATTTGATTCTAAAGCCTGGCTCTTAACAGGTACTAACAAACATTTGCTGAATTAAATGCACAAAGTATTATGTCTCCACTGTACCAAACTGGCCCTTCTACCCAAAGGCTGCAATGAGCCTGCAATCTGGCCCTGGAATTTTATTATTAAGAGATTGAGTATTCTGACCCTCTCATGGAATTCTTCACATCTCTTTTCTGTTCTGTTTTTTGTTTTTGTCAGTCCTGGGGCTTTCAGGGCCTGGGCACTGTTCCTAAGTTTCTTTTGCTCAAGGCTAGCACTCTACCACTTGAGCCACAGTGCCACTTTCGCCTTTTTCTGTGTATATGGTATTGAAGAATTAAACCCCATGGCTTCATGCATGCTAGGCAAGCACTCTACCACTAAGCCACATCCCAAGCCCCTCTTTTCTGGTTTTGATCATGCTTTAGGCTTATCCATAGGGGGGGGGAAGTTAACTTTAAGTAGTGGTGCTAATCAAAAGTATTAGCAGGGCTGGGAAGGCGGCTCAGTGGTAAAAGTGCTTGCCTTGTATGCAAGAGGCCCTGTGATTCCTCAGCACCACATAAGCAGAAAAAGCCAGAAGTGGCACTATGGCTCAAGAGGTAGAGTGCTGGCTTTGAGCTGAAGAGCTGAGGGACAGTGCCCAGGCCCAGAGTTCAATCCCCATGACTGGAAAAAAAAAAAAAAAAAGTATTAGCAGGTGGCAAACTTTTAATTCAATCCTATACACCTCTGAAATCTCTTCCCAACAAGTAAAATATCAAAGTACATAGATGGTGGGGCTGGGAAGTTGGCTCAGTGGTAGAGTGGTGCTGTGGCTCAAGTGGTGGAGCGCTAGCCTTGAGCTGAAGAGCTAAGGGACAGCGCTCAGGCCCAGAGTTCAGTCCCCACGACCGGACCCAAAAAAAAAAAAAAAAAAGATGGTGTCCAAAACTCCTGTCATAACTATTTTTCATGCATATGTAGTCTGGAGTTTACTTCTGGCCTGTGAATCATTTTTTCAGTTTACATGTAGAGATAAGACTTAAACCAGGGCTGGGAAGGTGGCTCAGTGGTAGAGTGCTTGCCTTGCATGCATGAGGCCCTGGGTTTGATCCTCAGCACCACATAAGCAAAGAGAAAAAAGCTGGAAGTGGCGCTGTGGCTCAAGTGGTAGAGTGCTAGCCTTGAGCTGAAGAGCTGAGGGACAGTGCCCAGGCTCAGAGTTCAGGCCCACGACCGGACCCCAAAAAATAAAAATTTTTTAAAAAATTTAAAAGAAATAAAAAAAAGACTTAAACCAGAATATTCAAGTTTCATTAATCCAGATATTCCTTTCACATGGACTGACAATATTATCTTACATTTATTAATAAAAATCAACATTTAATTATAACTTTGTTCACCCACATAATTTAATTAGTAAGATACAAAGAGCTAAGTCTCCCTATAGGACAGAAAAATAAACCTCAAGAGAACATTATCACCAAATAAGCACTAACCTTTAGGTATTAGGTGTTATAGTTAAATGTGTATAGGTTGGAAATATTTTCACTGTTAAGACACTTACCTTGCAAAACCCTAATACTGATTTTAAAAATAAAAATAAACAATTCTTTGCTTAAAAATGTAAAAATCTGCTGGCTATTTTTAATTTCAAATCACTAAAAATAATTTCATATAAATCTCTGAATCTTACTTGTTTGTTCAGGATACCTTTCCCATCTGTGTCAGCTAAATCCCAAATCTGAAATTCAAAAGTAAAGAAAACAGAATTTTTATTTCTAACAGAAATTAACTTAAAGAAAAGTTGCTGCAATTTATAATGTCATGCTCTTTGGCTGTAAGATCTAAAAATCATGGAATTAAAAATGGAAAGAACCCTTAAAAATCATTCAGTGCAACCCTTCATTGCAAACCAAAGGCCCAATGAGGTTTACAACCAGCGAAAGAACTGAAACACATGCTCAAATTTCTAGTCAAATTTCTAGTCTTTTTCACTAACCCAGGATTTAACTTTAAGACAAATGTTTTCTACGGGCAAGTTGGGAAGACTCATATTTATTTGTGGATAATTGAATTTTTAACAGTGATTATTTTTCAAGATTTTGACTAAATGTAAGGCTCTGACAGGAAAGATTTTTCACTCTATTCAACACACACATTAAACACATAGTATATAAAGGTAGCAAGGTTCCCAGTCTGCACTGTATCTTCTCATAATACCCAAATGTACTATTACTTCCTCCTTTCATCCTACACAACAGTATGTTTCTAAAAGTCTGAACACATTAATACTTTTCAAAAAGATAAATTACTATGTCATAAATACCCCCAATCCATTAATGTAACTGTTTCTATTCTAATTTGTATGTTTCTAAATGGTTATTGATCTGAATTTAAATCTGAATTTAAATTCATTTGTGCTTATAGATATCTGATACTCTAGTTATAACAGACAAACATTACCTTTCCAAGAATCAAGTCTGGAAGCCCTGATTTTTTCAGGAAAGCAGCAGCATCTGAAGCCAATACCCTTCCAGTATTGCCTGTATCAACCTGAAAAGATATAAACTGTAAGCAAATAATAAAACACAAAAGCAAAATTATCTAACTTTCCAAACCTCTCATTTGAGAACTGGCTTTCCAAAAAAGAAACAGGAATTGTCTTACTAACATGGGCCAAGAAACATGTGAAGAGCCATATGAACAGAGTACCATCAAGCTGGTGGTGATGATTTGCAAAAAAATTTTTTTATCATACTTGCTATATATAAGAAAACTTAATCTGAGAGGAGGTGAAAGCAAATTAGTGGAGTTAGAACATCAACATAGATCTTCAGGTTCCAATTTTTTATGGCTGTAATTTAAATTCAAAACGATAATAGGAGAAAAAAAAGGCATAATTTCCCAGAGAAGTCTTGTGACAAATCAGAATAGCAGCAAATGTTAACTGCCTTTGCAAACAGTTTTAGATCATTGACTTCTCCACATTCAATGAGATCACTAGAACAGGAAAGAAAAATTTCGGAAAAAAAATTAGTCTACTTTTTTTCATTTGTGTAAAGATTCCTGAAAGCTCTATTTGCAAATATGAAAAGTAAACTTTAAAAACTTACAGCAGGCTGATGGCATGGTTCAAGTGATAAAATACTTGCCTAGCAAGCATAAAGCCACAAATTCAAATCCTCAGTATTTCAAAAAATAGTTTAAAAGTCTTGGGTAACATTTACTAGGACATTTATGAAACAGCTATATTTCTAGTTTAAAGATTAAGTTTACTGTAAACATATGCAAGGTATTCTAGAAAATCTAGTAACAAAAAAGCCAAAAGAGGGCTGGGAAGGTGGCTTAGTGGTAGAGTGCTTGCCTAGCATGAATGAAGCCCTGGGTTCGATTCCTCAATATCACATACACAGAAAGAGCTGGAAGTGGCACTGTGGCTCAAGTGGTAGAGTGCTAGCCTTGAGCAAAAGAAGCTTAGGAACAGTACCCAGGCACTGAGTTCAAGCCCCAGGACTGAAAAAAAAAAGTCAAAAGAAAAATACTTTTTTTCAAATGCTAGAACATAGGATTACTCAGCCAAAAAAAAAAAAAAAAATCCTAATTCTTCAATTTTTGGGTAAGAAGTAAGCACAGAAGATTGGGAAACCTGATTAATAACTTCTCTCTCTCTCTCTCTCTCTCTGTCCTGAAACTTGAACCCTGGGCCTGGGCACTGTCCTTGAGCTTCTTTGGCTCAAGGCTAGTGCTCTACCACTTGAGCCACAGTGCCACTTGGGCTTTTTCTGAGTAGCTTATTGGAGAAAAGTCACAAATTTCTTGCCCAGGCTAGCTTGGAACCACAATCCTCACATCTTAGTCTCCCAGTAGCTAGGATTACAGGCATTAGCCGCTAGCACCAGAACTATGGTTTTGACCACTCTCTGACAAAGAGATACTCAAATGTTGCATAACCTAACACAGAGCATAACTCAGGGAAGTATCAATCAAACTCATCAAATATTTGTGTACTGTATCCTAATAAGGAATTTTAGTATATTCTATTCTCTTAGTCTCCATAATAAGTTAAGCATAGCCATTAAATCTTTGTCCTGTTACAGGCAATTGCACAGTACTCTGATGCTTGCCTAAACACTCTGCCAATACACTGCAGGCTAGAATCTATGCCTTCAACAAAGACAAGGTTGGAACCTTGTGAAAAGGACTGAATTATTAACAACTGAGAAATAGATGTTTGGATAAAGACTTCTGAGCTAACAACTTAGACTACTTTCAGATAGGTAGATGAATTCAGGATTTATAATGACTCTTTCTTCAGCCTGGAGGCAAATATAGTTCATGAAAGCAAATTCACAAGTCTAGATCCAACTGGATGTAAGACTGAATAAAATATGTATGTATTATATCCTAATATGGACTGACTGAATTGCTGCAGAATATTTAATTATGCATGTTTACTTGGAATACTGTCAGAATTTGGAATTATTTTTGTTTTGGGGGTACTGAGATTGAAACCAAGGCCTAACATATACTCATTCTATCACTGAGATACTGTCAGCTCTCTGCTGGTTTTGTTTAAGACAGAGTCTTTCCATATCACTGGGGCTAGCCCTGAACTTCTAACCTCAAGTGGTTCTCCTGCCTCAACAACCCAAGTAGCTATCTACAGATGCATGCCATGGCTCCTCATCGTATTATTTTTAATGTTTTAATTCATTCTTTCCTTCCTTCATCTCCTCTCATCCCCTCTGCCACTTTTTTGTTCTGAGATAGTGTCTTGCTATGTAGTCCAGGCTGGCCTCAAAATCATGATCCAACAGAGTGCTGGGATTATAGGCATGTGACACTGCACCAAATATAATGTTTTACATTTTCTAATAGGTATGTGACAAATCTCCACTTTTTTTTTCTTCCTTGGCTATCTCAACCTTCATTTTAGTAGAATCTGCTTTTGTCAACTGAATGAAATAGTTTTCAATGGAATCTGATTCTCATTGGTCTATACGAATATAAAAACAAGCCTTACTTTAAAAAAATTTAATGCTAGTACTGGGGCTTGAACTCAGGGTTTAAGCGCTGTTGCTTGCACTTCACACTAGGCTGGTTCTTTACCACTTGAGTCATACCTTCACTTCCAATTTTTTGATGGTTAATAGGAAATAGTCCAACAGGCTGGGCTGACTTTCAACCATGATCCTCAGTCTCAGCCTCCTGAGTAGCTAGGATTACAGAGGTGAGCCACTTGGGCCTGGCTTCCTTACTTTTTATAGCAATATAATCACAAAGACTCAGCAATAATTTAGATGCATCAAGTATGCAAAACAAGTCTGTGTCTAAGAGCAATTCTCTTTTATTAGATAACTTACTCAACATAAATTTTAACCAGCACTGGTAGCTTATGTTATAATCCTAGGTAGAGATCTAAGGCTGAGATCAAAGCCAGCCCAGACAGACAAATCTGTTATCCCCAAATAACCAGTAAAATGGGAAGTAGAAGGTGTGGCACAAGTGACAGAGCACTAGCTATGTGTAAAAACAGAGTGACAACATATGGGGTAAGAGACAGGAAGAGAAGGAGGGGGAAAAGGGGAAAAAGAGGAGAAAGAAAAAGAAGAGGGGAAGTGGGGTACAGGTGGCTCACACCTGTAATCCTAGCTACTCAGGAGGCTGAGATCTGAGGATCACGGTTCAAAGCCAGCCCGGGCAAGAAATTCTGTGAGCCTCTTATCTCCAATTAACCACCAGAAAACCGGAAGTGGTACTGTGGTTCCAGTGGTAGAGCTCCAGCCTTGAGCTGAAGAGCTGAGGGACAGCGCACAGGCCCAGAGTTCAAGCCCCATGACCCACAAAAAAAAAAAAAAAAAAGAGGAGGGGGAGAAAAACCTCAACTTTATGTGGAGCCAAAACTCACTCTCAAAAAAAAAAAAAAAAAGGCTTACTATCTGGTTTATAAAGGTCCGGCCTCATATGTAATAGAATAAGGTTGCTTATCAGCAAGCTAGGAAATTTAGTATATCTGGAAAACCTCAAGATGAGACAAAGTCGCTGTAATTTATATGTACTGCTAGTGAAAACTGATAAATTTATATATACTGGAGAGAAAATTGATAAAAACTGATCTTGTCATCAAAGTAGAAAAACAAAAAAATACATACTTTAAAAAGCACAATCAGCTGGGTGCTGGTGGCTCATGTCTGTAATCATAGCTAATCAGGAAACAGATCTGAGGATCACAGTTCAATGCCAGCCCAGACAGGAAAGTCCATGAGAGTCTTATCTCCAATTAAACCAAAAAAGCCAGAAATAGAGCTCAAGTGGTAGAGCTCTAGCCTTGTACAACAGGATAACACCCAAGCCCTGAACTGAAGTACCAGGACCAGCATGCACATACACACACACAAAATCAAGTTGGGTGTGATAATGTTCACCTGTCATAGCTACTTATAAGGTTGAAGATTCTAAAGTCAGCTTGAGCAACAGGCTCTTTAAAAGTAAGCAAAGAGTTAGGCACTGGTGGCTCATGCCTGTAATCCTACCTACTCAAGAGGCTGAGATCTGAGGATCACAGATCGAAGTCAGCTGAGGCAGGAAAGTGGGAGATTCTTTATCACAGGGGAAAAACTAGAAGTGGTGCTGTAGCTCAAGTGGTAGAGTGCTAGCCTTGAGCAAAAGGACAGCACCCAATCCCAGGCCCAGAATTCAAGGTCCAGGACTAGCAAAAAGTAAAAAATTAAAAATAAACAAAGAGATTTATTTGTTCAATCTCCACTTAGTACAATCTAATTATAAAAGTTTTCATGCACAAACTAATTTTCTGGCTTTCTAAATGGCTGAATAGTAGATAGCTCTAGATTTGCAAGTCAAAATCAAGGAGGTCTACATCTCACTGTCCTTTGCTACAACTATGCAGACATCCATGCCAAATATGTAACTAGCCTTCTCTGTGTTCATGCTCAGTAGATAAGAAGGCTTTTAGGGAAAATTATTTAGTACTTGGAAATGGGCAAATGAGATTGTCTATACTCTCAGAGTATTATCTGACATATAGTATACCCTGTCATTTAACTTTCTACAGATTAGACTATTTTAAACTTTAAAGATAGAGGTTTAGTGGCTCAGTGGTAGAGCGCTTGCCTTGCATGCATGAGGCCCTGGGTTCGATTCCTCAGCACCACATAAGCAAAAACAAAAAAGCCAGAAGTGGCGCTGTGGCTCAAGTGGTAGAGCACTACCCTTGAGCTGAAGAGCTGAGGGACAGTGCCCAGGCCCAGAGTTCAGGCTCCATGACCGGACCCCCCAAGATAGAGGTTTAATTATAGAAAATTATTAGCTTTGCAAATGAATCCATCCTTACCAATGCAAATGAATTTTGCCTGAGTATGAACATCTGCAAATCATATTCTCATTCTTATATTTGAATGGTTTACCAAATAATTAATAAATTAAAATCTTTGACATGCTTTGTTAGCTTTTATGGTACTGGGAATTGAATCCAGAGCCTTGTGTTCTACCTCACGACCATATCTTCAGCCCCTATGTTCATTTAGATTTATATGAAAGCCATGCTTTTCAGTTTGTAAAAATTATATTTTAGTAAGTTTTAAAAAAAAATAACATGAGGGGCTGGGAAGATGGCTCAGTGGTAGAGCAAGCTTGCCTTGTATGCTTGAGGCCCTGGGTTCGATTCCTCAGCACCACATAAGCAGAAAAAAAAAGCCGGAAGTGGTGTTGTGGCTCAAGTGGTAGAGTGCTAGCCTTGAGCTGAAGAGCTGAGGGACAGCGCCTAGGCCCAGAGTTCAGGCCCCATGACTGGACCTAAATAAATAAATAAATAAAAAACATGAAAGGGCTGGGAATGAGGCTTAGTGGTAGAGTGCTTGCCTAGCATGCAGGAAGCCATGGGTTTGATTCCCCAGAAGAAGCAGAAGTGGTGCTGTGGCTCAAGTGGTAGAGTGCTAGCCTTGAGCAAAAGAAGCTCAAGGACAGTGCCTAGCCCCTGAGTTCAAGCCCTAGGACTGTCCAAAACAAAAAACAAAAAAAAAACCCAAAGACAAACAAAAACGTAAAAGTAATTTACTTTTCGCTTATAACCTAATTTGGATATTTATAGCTAAATAAATATATCTAATGTTGTACATGGGTGTGTGTGGGGCTTATAACCTAATTTGGATATTTATGGCTAAATAAATATATCTAATGTTTTGTGTGTGTGTGTGTGTGTGTGTGTGTGTGTGTGTGTGTGTGTGTGTGTGTGTGTGTGTGTGGTGTGTGTACTGGGGCTTGACTCAGGGGTTTAAACTCTCACTTGGCTTTTTTTTTTGGTCGGCCATGGGGCCTGAACTCTGGGCCTGGGAGCTGTCCCTCAGCTCTTCAGGTTAAGACTTGCGCTCTACCACTTGAGCCACAGTGCCACTTCCAGCTTTTTCTGCTTATGTGGTGCTGAGGAATCAAACCAAGGGCCTCATGCATGCAAGGCAAGCACTCTATCACTGAGCCACTTTCCCAGCCCTCTCACTTGGCTTTTTTGCTCAAAGCTGGTGCTCAAGTAGTAACTTGAGCTACATCTTTATTTCCTTGTATAGATTTTTAACATACATATTTAAGATAATTGAATCATCTTAATTTTCTTTCCTACAGTGCATGTCTATAATCCCAGTACTACAGTCTTAGGCAGACTGTAAGCTCCAGCTCAAGGCCTGCCTGAGTACAAAAAAACAAAACAAAACAGCATTAAGTACTCAACATCGGGGGCCAAAACAAAAAGTTAAAGATACATCAAATTTATCCAGCCAGCTGGTAATCTACATGCATATAATCAACAATTGGAAGTTTATTTTATGTTGAATCTAGAATAACAATGAAAATCTTACCTGTCTATAGTATTTTTCATATACAGGATTCCCACTTGATAACTACAATAAATAATAATAGTAATTATGTTCTTTTCAATAATTCTAATAACATATTTAGCATTCAGTCAAAAGATATTTCAGAAATAAAGATGAGCAGGATAAAATATCCTCTATTTTTAAAAGGCTACTTTTGTTTCTTCGATGGAAAGCAAGGGAAAGAATAAAGTCACATGGATTACAAAGAATCAGAAGACAGAATCAAAACAAGAATCTTAAAATTATTTTTTATTTCAGAACTTTATCTCATGTAAAATCCCACCCAAAAATCGAACATACAACAAATTAGGAAGGAAATGCTTTTGTTAAAACCAATTAAAAGGGGCTGAGAAGGTGGCTCAGTGGTGGAGCACTTGCCCTGCATGCTTGAGGCCCTGGGTTAGATTCCTCAGCACCACATAAGCAAAAAAAAAAAAAACAAAAAACCGAAGTGGCGCTGTGACTCAATTGGTAGAACACTAGCCTTGAGCTGAAGAGCTGAGGGACAGCACTCAGGCCCAGAGTTCAGGCCCCACGACCAGACCCAAAAAACAAACAAAAAAAACAATTAAAAGCATTTATCCTCTCTACTCAAGTGCCCCAGGTATCTATGAATTCAATTCAAAAACCACTTTAGCAAAATAATCAACTGAAGGCTGAGTATATAGTTCAATGGTAGAGTACTTGCCTACCATATATGAGGCCCTCAGAGTATCCCTAGCATTACAAATAAAAATTAAATAATTAAATGAATATGGAGGGATACAGAGAGTGATTTTACAGAGACAACAGCATGTTCAAGGCATGCAATTACCACTGTAAGTAACAAGAAGTCCAGCACAGAGGGTTTCATGCATGGTAGGCAAGTGCTCTACTACAGAACTACATACCTTTATAGGCAAGCCCATGCCTATATTCCCAGCACTCAGGAGGCTGAAGCAGGAGGACTGTGATAGCAAAGCCAGTTGAGCTATATAGCAAGACTATCTAAAACAAACAAAACTCTGAACCAGTGCTCTGTTAGTGATGTTTTACAGGAGACAATTTATGAAAGGTCTCACCTATCATGGTTAAAGTAAAGAAAATGAGGATACAAAAGGGGGCAAATTCAAGAGTTATTATCTTGGTATCAGTTTTTATTCTGAGGTAATTACTACTTAGGAAATAATTTTAAACATTGCAGCTAAAGATAAAAACACTATCAGGGCAAAGGAAAGGCATAATTTGAAGAAATATTTGTAAAATAAATTTAACAAGATTTAAGTGGATGATAGAAGGCACAGTTAGAAATACACACATTATATACACATATACATAAACATGAAGATTTGAGATTGCAATATATGTGTACATCTACACACACATAACCTGTTGTTTCTGTTTCTCCAGAAAATCTTGAGTAATATAGCTAGTTCCAGAGAGGTTACTTGTTCAGACTTTAGATGGCAGTGAGGATCTAAATTCTAGTCTTTCCCACTACAAGCCTCCATGCTGCTTCACATCATGTCCTTGCTTCACCAGAAAAGTCTTGATTGCAATCTGGTATCCCACCATTTCATCCATGTTACCAACTGTCATACTTTAAATGGATTATAAATCAAGTGATGGTGGCTCATGACTATAGTATCTACTACTCAGGAAGCAGAGATTAGGAGGATCACTGTTTGAGGCAAGCCCAGACAAAAGAAGTTCGTGAGACTCCATCTCAACCAAGAGCTAGATATGGCGGTTCATGCCTATCATCTCAGCTGTGTGGAAATGGAAGACTGTAATTCCAGGACAGCCAGGCAGAAAAGTTGAGAAATCTCCACCTCAACAGAAAAAAGGTGAGTATGGTGATGTAAGTCTGCCATCCCAGCTATGGCAGGAAGTGTAAATAGGAGGAACAATCCAGGCTGCCTGGGGGAAAAATGAGATTCTATCTCAATGACAACAAGAATAAACAGGGCTGGAAACATGACTTAAATGGTAGAGTGCCTATCTAGCAAAAGCCTCAAAGCCCTGAATTCAAACCCCAGTTACACACAAAAAGAGAACTGTAATTAATCATTACTCTAATATACATTAAAATAAACTAGGATATAGGTTTAGTATACCTCTACTCAGTAATGCTTAAGTAAATGTAGAAAACTCACTGAAAAGTATCCTTAGACACAAGAAAGTACAGACCGCTAATTATTTACAGTGTTATAATTTATAGGAAGGAGGCATCTGCCAACTGTACTTCCACTATTTGGTGGGCCAGCCAGTACAGCAGCAAGTATAGTGACCTGAAAGATGTACCAGGCTAATATTGTGAAAAGTAGCTATACTACCAAAAGCAATCTACAGATCCAAATATTCCCCACCAAAGTTTCAACATCATTTTTTTACAGAAATAAATCAAACCTGAGCTTCATATGGAAGCACAAGATGAAGAACAGCCAGAGCAATCTTGAGCAAAAGAGCAATGTTGGAGGTATCACAACACTAGACTTAAATTATACTACAGGGCTAGTAGTAACTAAAACAGAAAAACAACACATATATACCAATGCAATAGAAGACCCAGAAATAAGCCCACACAGTTACAGCCATGTGATTTTTAACTAAAGTGCCAAAACATACATCAGAGATGACAGCCTCTTCAACAAATGGTGTTGGAAAAACTGAATAGCTACATGTAAAAGACTGAAATTAGATCCCTGCCTCTAATTCTGTACAAAAAAATCAATTCAAAGTAGATCAAAGCTCTCAATGTAAAACCTGAAACTTTGAAACTGTATTAGAGGAAAACACTCACACACACACACACACACACACACACACACACACACACACACAAATACAGGGATACAAAACAACGTTGTGAATAGTACTCTAAAAGTTCAGGAACTGAGAGCAAGAATTGACAAATGGAGGGCTCAAAGCAGGTGGTGAAGCACTGAGTTCAAACCAAGTACCATCAAATAAAAAGGAAAGGAGCTGGAGGTGTTGCTCAAATTAGAGCCTGCCTGGCAAATCCCAAGCCCTGAGTTCAAAATCTCAGTACCACAAAAACAAACAAACAAATAAGAGACAAATATAAAAGAGGGACTTGTGGGGCAGTAAATAAATGGGAAGGGTGAAGAGGGGAAAAGAAGGGGAGTAAATATGTACACTATGACATTAGAGTAATGATTTCCCTTAAGAATGTAAAAACAAAACAAAGGGCAGGGTGTTGAGGGGCAAAGGGAGATTAGGAAGAATAACAGCTACTTAGGACAGACATGTCAATTGTAAAAGTTGACAATCACAAAGTAGAAAATGCAAACTAAAAAACAATGAAGATATTTATGAAAAATTTACACAAGTAAAACTAACTGTATAATAGTTTTACTGGTTTTGTACTAAAACTATATTGGAAAATATACAATATTAAACACACAATACTAGAGACATAGCTGGCTAAGAAACTGATTAAAAAAAAAAAACATGGTTATTACCAAAAATAATCGGGTTAACATTTAACCAATACAAATATAGAAACTTCATTTTGTTAAAATGAACAAAATGTTTGTTGGGGTTTTTTTTTGGGGGGGGGAGGCGGGGGGAGTGAGTCCTGGGGCTTGAATTCAGAGCCTGGGCGCTGTCCCTGAGCCTCTTTGTGGTCAAGGCCAGCCCTCTAATCACTTGAGCCACAGAGCTACTACCGGCTTTTTCTGAGTAGTTTATTGGAGATAAGTCTCATGGACTTTTCTACCCAGGCTGGCTTTGAACCATGATACTCAGATTTCAGCTACTCAGATTTCAGCCTCCTCAGTAGTTAGGAGCCACCAGGCTGTGTATGTGTGAGAAGAGAGAGAGAGAGAGAGAGAGAGAGAAAGACAGAGAGAGAGAGAGAGAGAGAGAGAGAGAGAGAGAGAGAGAGAGAGAGTGTGTGTGTGTGTGTGTGTGTGTGTGTACAGTGTTTGACCTAGGCCTGCCAGATTGCTTGCTCATTTGTGTTGCTTTACCATTTGAGCGACACATCCATTATAGCTTTTTGCTAGTTGTTTTGGAGATGAAGTCTTGAAGACTTTTCTGCTTCAAATCACTCAGCCTCCTATGTTGGACAACTTAGAATAACGGAAGTATTTTATTGACCTACCAATACAATAAAAACTATATATAAAGGAATATTTCAGAAAGTGTACTATTTTATGGCCAGGCACAGTGGCTCATGCTTATAATCCGAGCTGCTCAGGAAGCTGTAATCTGAGGATCACAGCTTGAAGCCAGCCTGGGCAGCAAAGCCCGAGATATTCTTATCTCCAATTAACTACCAAAAAGCCAGAAGTAAAGCTGTGGCTCAAGTAGCACAATGCTAACCTTGAACAAAAAAGCGCAGGGACCGTGACCGGGCCCTGCATTCAAGCCCCAGAAATCTCTCTCCCCACTTTCTCCCCTCTCTTACACACACACAGTGTGTAGTATTTTAAATGTTTACAGCCCTCTTTTACTCTTTCCTCAAAAATATCTCTGCTTGAGTAAAAAATCATATATAGTCACCTACTTTTAGGGTATACATACTCTGCCAGAGCAAGAAAATAAAATGTTTCCTTGGTGACAAAGAGTGTATTTTAGCTGAATTTTTAGTATGTAGAAAAAAATTCATATATGGTAAGAAATCCTAAGTTCCAAATGGTGCCTTATTGATCATCACATTGTAAATTCATTGGACTACTTCATAAACACTCACAAGAAGGTATTAGTTTACTAAAGTATTCTAAAGTACACCCTGTGCTGATTACTAGACTAATGTGATACAGCTAAGTGAGAATGGAAAAAGCCATCCAAATTGCCAAGTTACTTATCAAGCAAGACCAAGGAATGTGTTTGAGGTCTCAGTAAAATTGGCATTTGTTGTGGTTGTTGCTGAATGATAAATGTGATCACTTAAATAACAGAATGAATGGAGGAAAAAAATGAAAGGCATGGCTAAAGTGACCACTGATTATCTTTGATAAGGGAATTATAAATGATATTTGCAGTCTTTGAGTAATCTGGTATTTTCATAACAAAAC